AACCCAACCCAGGTTATACTTGCCTACCTAACTATTATATGGACTGATCAAAACTTTTACTCTCCCTTTTAAAAATTTAAATTTTTGCCACCATCAGACCATTATTACTCACAAAACCACAATGGAGTTATGTATCATAGTTATTAAGTGAGAAAAATGTCATTGATTGGAAATTTTTTTTTATTGTTAGGAACTAATAAGTCACTCAGTTGGTGGCGAGTAAGTGAGTTCAAACATAAATTGTATAAAATTTATTAACTGTTATTGTTAGTGTTGGGGGCCGGGAGATCAATGAGGACAATTCGACCGCCAAGTTGATAGATTTTAACCATTAAATAACGTTTCCTAGGCCATACGCTCGTGGTGTACCACGAGAAGGTGGTATCCATCAGTACACACCATTAACTGTTATGTCTTATGTGTTTTTGTAAGTCCAGTAGAAAAAAATGCTTGACTAATGATTATTAACACTATTATCTATTAATTAACAATAATATGTACGTAAATAATAATACAATATAATAATATAATGAAAAGGTAATTATTTCATACCCTCATACCTATAATATACATATATTAATTATTATGCAGCTTAACTGCATAGACTTGAGTAAATGTCATATATCAAATAAACAAAAAAATCTTTGATTAAAATAAAATTAATTTCTCATTATATGAACAGAATTTATTTCATTTTTTGAAATATATTTTAAAATTGAACATTAAAATTTAAAATWAATATATTGACATTTTGTAGAGAAATAAGCCCTCCCAGCCTCCATATAGTCCAGTCTAATAATTATAGTATCTAAAATCGAGACCTATAGCCTGATAGATTAGGTATAGCAATTATTCGGATTTGTCAAATCTGGATTTAGTAAATCCGGATTTCACAGATTATCTGGAGTATTCAGACTATTCAACTCGATTTTGCTGTTCAATGACTCATTTTTATATACTAATATTTTAATTCTATAATATAATTTTCAGACATAGGTATACACAATTTCGAATGCATTTTAAGTACCAGTGATGTTTTGCACTTAGCTTATCAAATCCATAAMTCCGGATAAGAATTTGATTCAAATCCGRATTTGGATTTTCGGATATTCGGATAATTCAGATATTCGGATTTTAAACAATCCCTAATAGCAATAGGTACCCAGAACCTGCACAATTTAGACTGTAGAGAAGACAATTTTTCCCAGAATCCTTAAATTGTATGGTGATTCTATGGATTCACCCTAAAAAGTAGTTAGATTTAACAAAGAATTACGATAAAGGCTATATATTAATTTGTGGATTTAACCTATTCAGTGATTTAACTATTAGATACATACATATTAAAATGTTTATTAAAAAATGTTGGTAATTTATTACATTAAGATTAGGTTAAGAACATACCATAAAATTTGTTGTATTATGCATAAATAAAAAATAAATTAAATCAAATATGAATTAAAAAAAAAAAAAAAAACTTAAAATATAATGAAACATCTTACAATAATCTTTAAATTAGCTCAAAATAACAGGAAAAAACTTAACTACAAGAAGTATTTAGCAAAAAGTAAACATAGTAAGATTAATAATCTTGAATCATTTATTTAAATTAATATAAATCAAAAAATTAATTTATCCCATACACGGCAAAAAAACTTTTACTAATGATATATTATAATTTTTATGATTACAAAGGTTTAAAAACATAAATATTATACATTTATCAACAAACTTAACTATTTAATCTTATAAGTTAACAAAGCTGACTCCTGATAATACCTACATGACTACTGACATATATAATTTTTATATAATTTAATTAACTAATATTAATAAACATTATGATTATTCTAAAATATTGTGTATCTATATTAATAATTGAAAACATAAAATTTAGTCAGTGTCAATTGATTTATGTTAAGTTATAAGCTAAAAGCTGCCAAGTATATTAARCAACTTGATTATTAATCCTCAAGAAATTTAATAATTTTTGGACATAATTATAGAAAGTAATGTTATATTATTTTAGTTCATTAAATATTATTTTTATTTGAAAACTGAGAATTTTTTTCAAATAGAAATATCAAAAATAACATATCTAATATTTAAACTATCAAAATATGACAGAGGGTGGCAAACCTGTAACACATATTACTTATATTACATATACTTCAATGTTTGATATTGTATTTAATGAAAAATAATCMAAAAAAAATCATTATTGCCCTATGGTGCTTTACTACATTTACCAACATTTTAGCTACATCAATAAATTTAGTTGTAAATTAAAAATACAACATTAAGAACATAATAAAAAATGGTCATAAATACTTAATGTTTGAACAATACATATTTATACATGCAAAATATTGATCAACTGTGACACAGATTTTTCAGCAGTGAAAACATTTTTAAACTGATTATACAATTTTAGTATATGACCTGGAAAATGTACGCCATCTATGGTATACCAAGTTTAAATTTATCATTTAAACAAAATTAAATATAAAAAGATATTTACTTGTAATTTCTAACTGTAAATTTTAATCTCCTGTTTTCATTTTGAATATCTAATTACTTTTATAATACAATTAAATATAAGTATAAACATAGTACAGATACTAGAACTAAATATTTCAATTTATACAGAACGCCACCCTAGTTAAACAGTATTTTATATTCAATAAGATTAAATTCTTACAAAAACTATGTTTACTTAACCATATAGAGGCTTACCAATATATACTACTGAAATTTCCGTGTTGCCATAAACGGCTGACACCGAAGGATATAATTTAGTTTTAGGTAAGTTTTTAAAAGCTATACCTAAAAATTCATTACATTTTTCAAAGTGCAAAATACCATTTTCAGAATCTAGTACTAATTGTAATTTTTCACCAATTTGGTACCTAGGAGCATTGTTTAACAATGGGTAGTTTCCATGTGATATTCCATTGTGTAACAAAACGTTATCGATTAAGTTCCAACCCCAACTATGCTTGTCAATACCCAATAGAGGTAAGTAACCACTACAATGCACTGGAGCCTCTTTTGTTGAAACGCCAACCATAGCAACTGTACCTATAAGCAAAATAATTGGCATTTGCATTAATTTCTTATTTATATAGTATATTGTGAATTTAATATCTCTTTACCAAGTGGTCCAGTCCATGTTATTTCCCACACATGTTTACCGCTGTTGTAACCAATTTTAGTTCGTGCCATATCTGTACTCTGGGCAACTGGATTGCGATGCAAAGTGAAACCATTTTGTTTGACGACAATGTGCATGGAACAATCGTCTGGATTCCATGAATGATATAAGGCGCGTAACTTAGCTTTATAGCTGTGGAGTTGTGACAAAAGTTCTGACTTCAGTATCTCTTCAGGTATCTTACGACGACACATAAGTTTCCATGGCTCTGCTCTGCCGTGATTAATCACTCTATACCAATTTTGACAGACTAACATGCAGTTAAACAAGTCTGGCACTTCCAAATTTGAAAATATTATGTCCAAAACTAAGTCGGGTAAGTATTGTGGTGCATGAGAAACGTCCATCATGAATGTTTTCGAATGTTAATCATGTAAATATGACTGCATTTTTTTCCCAATTATACCACCATTTTGTAAGAACTAAGATTAACGTGCACACAGATACATATTTTCAAATGTATATTATAATAACTGAGATAGAATGTTAAACGTATAATTTTTCATAGAAAAATGTTCTGTATTTGTAAAAATTATTTAAATTTATAATACTTCWCATTTGAATACTCGATTGATAATTGTTTACTACAAATTTAAAATTTGATACTGTTATCAAATTTTTTTAATAAGAACATCACGTATATAATTTATTGTGAGGAGCATAATTTTTTTTATCATTATCAAATATCATTAATTA